GTCAACTATGACAGACAAATTGAGAAAAAAAAATCCAGAAAATCACATTGTAGGATTTTTAATGAATTTATTAGCAAATTATGGTGGAAAATAAGTATTTGGTCACCTACAAACAAGCAAGATTTCTGGCTCTCACAGACCTCCACTCGTTACCTGTATTAATGGCACCTGTTTGAACTTGTTATCAGTATAAAAGACACCTGTCCACAACCTCAAACAGTCACACTCCAAACTCCACTGTGGCCAAGACCAAAGAGCTGTCAAAGGACACCAGAAACAAAATTGTAGACCTGCACCAGGCTGGGAAGACTGAATCTGCAATAGGTAAGCAGCTTGGTTTGAAGAAATCAACTGTGGGAGCAATTATTAGGAAATGGAAGACATACAAGACCACGCAAGATCTCACCCCGTGGGGTCAAAATGATCACAAGAACGGTGAGCAAAAATCCCACACGGGGGGACCTAGTGAATGACCTGCAGAGAGCTGGGACCAAAGTAACAAAGCCTACCATCAGTAACACACTACGCCACCAGGTAAGCCAGTACATGTCCAGGCCCGTCTGAAGTTTGCTAGAGTGCATTTGGATGATCCAGAAGAGGATTGGGAGAATGTCATATGGTCAGATGAAACCAAAATATAACTTTTTGGTAAAAACTCAACTCGTCGTGTTTGGAGGACAAAGAATGCTGAGTTGCATCCAAAGAACACCATACCTACTGTGAAGCATGGGGGTGGAAACATCATGCTTTGGGGCTGTTTTTCTGCAAAGGGACCAGGATGACTGATCCGTGTAAAGGAAAGAATGAATGGGGCCATGTATCGTGAGATTTTGAGTGAAAACCTCCTTCCATCAGCAAGGGCATTGAAGATGAAACGTGGCTGGGTCTTTCAGCATGACAATGATCCCAAACACACCGGAGGAATGGGCCAAAATACCAGCAACAGTGTGTGAAAACCTTGTGAAGACTTACAGAAAACGTTTGACCTGTGTCATTGCCAACAAAGGGTATATAACAAAGTATTGAGAAACTTTTGTTATTGACCAAATACTTATTTTCCACCATAATTTGCAAATAAATTCATAAAAAATCCTACAATGTGATTTTCTGGATTTTTGTTTTCTCATTTTGTCTGTCATAGTTGACGTGTACCTATGATGAAAATTACAGGCCTCTCTCATCTTTTTAAGTGGGAGAACTTGCACAATTGGTGGCTGACTAAATACTTTTCCCCCCCACTGTATATAAGAAATGGGGATAGGGTAAGACGAAAGGGCTGAGAGCTCCATGTAGCTCAGTTGGTAGAGCATGGCGCTTGCAACGCCAGGGTTGTGGGTTCCTTTCCCACGGGGGGCCAGTATGAAAAATGTATGCACTCACTAACTGTCAGTCGCTCTGGATAAGAGCGTCTGCTAAGTGACTAAAATGTAAATGTAAGCTCAATCCCCATAGGCTCCATGTCAAAATACCCAACATGCTCAAATGTCATATCATAGCCCAGATAAATGTACCATAGTGTAACTAAATCCCCCACACCACACTCTCTTCCCTGTCTCTCTCCCAGTCTTTTTCTCTCTCTCCCCTTCTCCCTCTCCATCTTTCTCTCCTTCTGTCTGTGTTTGGTTGTTTGGAGAGAGACTAGCCTTGGCCAGAATAGAAAAGGAATCCAACCCTTGTTTATTGTTCCTGTTCTCCTCTACATCTCAGAAATGCCTACAACTCCAGATACATAGAGTCAATGTTGTGGAAAAAGCTCTGGGAAAACAAATCGATGAGTTCCTAATAAATGTCAACAGAGTCACATAGCGCACGTAGGCCCGTCTCTGATTCTCTGCAGTCCTACAACTGAGGTCTCTCCGTCTCTCATTCTCTGCAGTCCTACAACTGAGGTCTCTCCCTCTCTCATTCTCTGTAGTCCTACAACTGAGGTCTCTCCGTCTCTCATTCTCTGTAGTCCTACAACTGAGGTCTCTCCGTCTCTCATTCTCTGTAGTCCTACAACTGAGGTCTCTCCCTCTCCCTTACTCTCCCTCTCCGTCTCCATTTCCATCCCTTTCCTTCGCCCTCCTCCCCCTCTCTGCAGTCCTAAAACTAATGTTACGCTCTTCTTTGTAGCCACTATATCTCTCTCTCCCATTCTCTCTCTCACTGTCCATTCTAAATGACCCCCCCCCCCCCTTGTCTCTCTGTCCATCCATCCATCCCTCTCTCCGGTGACCTGGACTTCTACAGAAGATAATAAAACAGAACAATACAGTCAGTCACCAGGTCAGGGCCTACTGATCCTCTCATTGTCCTTGGCGGCACATCCCAAATGGCACCCCATTTTCTTTATAGTGCACTACATTTATGATGTACCTCTTCTGTTCTATTTAGAACTGACTGTCTCTCTCACACACACACTTCCCCATCCCAGCTCAGTTTTCCGGTGATTGAGGCCAGTATTCCGGAAGCCTAGTACTTCCCCACGGGCAGATGGAAGGGACACACGCCAGAGAGGACAGGAAGTACCAAGGCAGAAAACAGGAAGTACAGGGGCGGGACAGGCTAAGTCTATTGTACTTATCCTATGTTCAAATGTACATACTTGCATACTACTCAGAATGCATGCCCAATACATGGTTTAATACTAAGTAGTATGTTGTTAGTGTGGATATTGGAACACAGCCTATTTACTAGAGCAGGGTTCTCCAACCCCAGTTGTTACTAACCTGATTCAGCTTATCAAGCAGCTAACTATTAGAATCAGCTGCGCTGGATTTGGGTCGGAGTGGAAACCTACAAGACGGTAGCTCTCCAGGAACAGGGTTGGAGAGCGCTGTACTAGAGATTGAAAAACACTGGAAAAAATACCCAAAACTCTCTGTTTTGGGTATCACAGAGGGGCCTTGGTCATACACAGTTCTCACTGCGGTGAGGCAGGGAGGGAGGGAGGGACAGAGGGTGAGAGGGAGGGGTGGAGGAGGGGAGTTTGAGTTCTGTGTTTGTTTTTGCACGGGGCTGTGCTGGGAATCACTCAGTGCAAATCTGAGAAAACAGATTAAAAAAAGAGAGAAAAAGAGAGAAAGGAAATAAAGATGTTGAATGGCTGGAGACAGACAGACCGGTTCCACACACACACACACACACTGAGCTGGCCAAAAGCAGGCCAGGTTCAGGCCTACAGAACCACTCGAGTGGGTTGGGTCCAAAATAAACAGTTTCCTCAATCTAAGATAAGAACTGAACGTGAACAAACCCACAGGCTGTCTCCCAAATGGCACCCTATGGGATCTGGTCAAAAGTAGCGCACTACATATGGAATAGGGTGCCATTTAGGGAGAAACCCACAACTTTCAAAACCAACCGACTCAGCTAATCTAGACTAGATGATCTTTGACCCTGATGAGTATTTTTAGGTGTTAGAGATTCATTCAGACATTAGGGTTAACAGACAATACAGGTCAACTAGCCTGGTCCCAGATCGGTTTGTGCTTTTGCCTATTCCATTGTCATTGTCAAGCCAAACATTGCATGACAATTCCATAAGGAGTTGGCAAAAGAGCAGAAACAGACGGGCACCCAGGCTATGGTCCCTGGGCTGTCTTGCCAACGCCAATGGTCATTGACTGATTATGTACTGAGTCCATGGGCATATAATAATAATAATAATAAATGCCATTTAGCAGACGCTTTTATCCAAAGCGACTTACAGTCATGCATGTATACATTTTACGAATGACCCCAGCGGGAATCGAATCCACGATCCGTGGCATTGCAAGCTCCATGCTCTACCGACAGCCACACAGAACTTGGAGTTCCATCGAATATTTCTAAGCCCCTTCCTTCCTGTTATTTTTTTATTACTCTTCCTCCATTGATGAAGAGAGAATAGACTAGGGAGACGTCTGATATCTGACTCACCATGTATTCACAGTTAAGTCTTTATCGGGTCCGCTATCTCTTCTACGCTCTTCAACAACCACCCTTCCCACACTATCAGATATTAACTTTGCAGAACCTCCAGAGTCACCCCCAATGTCACTGTGTGTATGTCTCTCTCTCTGTGATGGTCTGAAAGGAGGCCCTTTTGTGTCCGGCCAATAGCCCCTAGCCCTTACTCCATTGTTCCAGGGGGGTTAGGGGCTATCCTTGCTGCCCAGAAAAGCTGCAGCCAGTTGGGAAGGAGAGGGGGAGCTCTGGCCTCTCTCGGAGTCTCAGGTACAACAAAGTGCTTTTTGTTTTCCCTTCTCCTTAGAACCTTACTTTGCATGGTCATCGTGGATAAATACTCCTCTCTGGCACACACACACACACACAACGATGCTACTACAAATCTCTCTATCTCTGGATTTCTTTCTCTCTCTCCTGCTCACCCTCTCCATCCTTTTCTCTTTCTCCCTCCCTCTCCGTCCCCCTGTACCTCGTCCTCTCTGGGCCACAGCAGGCCAGAGTTAAATAGTGTTTTGTTTGGGTGGAAGTGTAGACACACAATAACAAGAGGTAGCTGGCAGTGTAGAGTATGTGTTTGACGGAAAATGGGTACCACTCTTTGATGGCCAGAGCAAGAGGGTCAGAATAGGGTAGACTTATTTGTGTGGCTGTGTGTGTGTTGTAGCAGCTGGTTAGACTTGTTTGAGGTGAGCCCTTCTTAATGAGGTTAAAGGTCACGTGATGTCACAGCCCGACATGGTGGAGGAGAAACAAGAGGTGCCTTTATCATGGCCCACACATACACACTACAGAAAGACCCTCTTTGTCTCAGGAGAGTAAGATAACTACCCCTCACTGTACATGGAAAACACAAATCTCTCCCTCGCTCTTTCTTTGTAGCTCTATCCCTCATTTGCTCTCTTTTTCTACTGATGTAATTATATGGGAATTCGCCAACCCTTCCGCCAAAAGAAACCAGTCTCCCCCCCCCCCCCCCCCGGAATAAAACACACAAGGTCCTTCTAAGAAGACAAAAAAAAGATAAGGAGGGCAGAGAGAGATCGAGAGAAGCACAGAGACCCTCTCTGTCAGGTCTGGAGGGGACAGAGTGGTATTGTCCCCCCTTTCTCCTCTCCTACTCCCTCCATCCCTCCTGATTCACCTGGAAACAAACCCCTTTATTGAGGACCGGCGGCCATCTTTTATTAGAGGGAATGACTCAGCGAAGACTGACCGCAAGGTGTGTGTGTGTCTGTGTCTTTGTGTTTGTGCGTGCCTGTGTGAGGTGCTTTGTGTGTTTGGGGCTATGTATAGAGTTTGTGTTTACTCTTACCTCATGGTCAGGTATCTCAGAGGCCAGTGTTTGTCTCAGTACGGCCCCAGTCAGGTAGGTCCAACAACGGGCCGTATTGGCTAGGTTATACCCTCCTAGAGAGAGAGAGAGAAGAGATGGAGAGAGTGAGAAAGGAAAATAAGTGAGGAGGAGAGTGAAAGAGAAAGGCAGTATAGAGAGCGAGAAGGAGGGAGGAAAAAGAGAGGTATTGTAGTGAGTAAAAGGGCTTCATTGTACTGGTGTAATTAACAGCTATCATCTGGTACAGGGCTGAGGGGTCTGGAGCTGGGGTTTCAGATGTGTGTGTGTGTGTAGGTACGTTTGTGTGTGTCGATGTGTTTGTGTGTGCGCGCGTGCGTATATGCGTACGTGAGACCAGCCTCCTCCCAGCAGCAGTGTGGGTAGGTGCCAGTCTAGTACGTGGCGTAGACACTAGGCTGTGGTTTCTGACCGTGTGTGTGGGGGTTTCCGTGAGGACAATTTTGGCACCGGACAAATGAACGGGAAGATTCTCATTTATCTGACATTTGAGAAATTTACATCCATATGCCTTGGGTGCGTAATCCATTAAGGCGTCCACCCACACAGCCAGGGATATTGGCCAAAAGATCCACATTTACGTGTCCTTAAAAACAGTCTATAACAAAAGACAAAAACACTATTCCTTGTTTTCGAAGTGTAGCATATGGAAAACTTTATAGCCTACTGTTTTATTGGTTTTTGCTTTCCTAAAACAATAATTGTCCACCTCACGGTTGAGCTGTTGGAGATTTGAGCACTAAATGGATCAGGGCATTGCATGCATAGGCCTATGCGCTTAGGCATCCACTGTATGATATGAATATTTTAAATATAAAAGGAAGAGAAGCTTAGGACTAGCCTCAGAGAGAGATCGAGATATGCCTGCTATGACACACATTTATTTATCCTTGTCAGATAGGCTACTGCGTCTGTTATACAGATATAGGCGTTTTAAAGTTTTAAAACTTTATTAAGTTAATATCAAAAGTAAGTCAAGAAATTGTTTATAGGGCAAAATACGAGCAGGATATTATATTGCGGATAACACAACATTACAGTTGGAACTTAATTTGGCCAAAGAAAATGGCTCAACAGAATGAAACAAAACACTTGCGAACTGTCTTAAACCTTCACAAAAGTTTAACAGCCTATATTGCAACAATTACCAAGAAAGGCTAGTGCCTATTGTACCAAACAAATGACATCAATAGGCTAATGATATTTATTGTACAACAGGCCTACTTATAACCTATCTTAAACTACAGTGGGGAAAAAAAGTATTTAGTCAGCCACCAATTGCGCAAGTTCTCCCACTTAAAAAGATGAGAGAGGCCTGTAATTTTCTTCATAGGTACACGTCAACTATGACAGACAAATTGAGAAAAAATATCCAGAAAATCACATTGTAGGATTTTTAATGAATTTATTTGCAAATTATGGTGGAAAATAAGTATTTGGTCACCTACAAACAAGCAAGATTTCTGGCTCTCACAGACCTGTAACTTCTTCTTTAAGATGCTCCTCTGTCCTCCACTCGTTACCTGTATTAATGGCACCTGTTTGAACTTGTTATCAGTATAAAAGACACCTGTCCACAACCTCAAACAGTCACACTCCAAACTCCACTATGGCCAAGACCAAAGAGCTGTCAAAGGGCACCAGAAACAAAATTGTAGACCTGCACCAGGCTGGGAAGACTGAATCTGCAATAGGTAAGCAGCTTGGTTTGAATATATCAACTGTGGGAGAAATTATTAGGAAATGGAAGACATACAAGACCACTGATAATCTCCCTCGATCTGGGGCTCCACGCAAGATCTCACCCCGTGGGGTCAAAATGATCACAAGAACGGTGAGCAAAAATCCCAGAACCACACGGGGGGACCTAGTGAATGACCTGCAGAGAGCTGGGACCAACGTAACAAAGCCTACCATCAGTAACACACTACGCCGCCAGGGACTCAAATCCTGCAGTGCCAGACGTGTCCCCCTGCTTAAGCCAGTACATGTCCAGGCCCGTCTGAAGTTTGCTAGAGTGCATTTGGATGATCCAGAAGAGGATTGGGAGAATGTCAGATGAAACCAAAATAGAACTTTTTGGTACAAACTCAACTCGTCGTGTTTGGAGGACAAAGAATGCTGAGTTGCATCCAAAGAACACCATACCTACTGTGAAGCATGGGGGTGGAAACATCATGCTTTGGGGCTGTTTTTCTGCAAAGGGACCAGGATGACTGATCCGTGTAAAGGAAAGAATGAATGGGGCCATGTATCGTGAGATTTTGAGTGAAAACCTCCTTCCATCAGCAAGGGCATTGAAGATGAAACGTGGCTGGGTCTTTCAGCATGACAATGATCCCAAACACACCGCCCGGGCAACGAAGGAGTGGCTTCGTAAGAAGCATTTCAAGGTCCTGGAGTGGCCTAGCCAGTCTCCAGATCTCAAACCCATAGAAAATCTTTGGAGGGAGTTGAAAGTCCGTGTTGCCCAGCGACAGACCCAAAACATCACTGATCTAGAGGAGATCTGCATGGAGGAATGGGCCAAAATACCAGCAACAGTGTGTGAAAACCTTGTGAAGACTTACAGAAAATGTTTGACCTGTGTCAGTGCCAACAAAGGGTATATAACAAAGTATTGAGAAACTTTTGTTATTGACCAAATACTTATTTTCCACCATAATTTGCAAATAAATTCATTAAAAATCCTACAATGTGATTTTCTGGATTTTTTTTCTCATTTTGTCTGTCATAGTTGACGTGTACCTATGATGAAAATTACAGGCCTCTCTCATCTTTTTAAGTGGGAGAACTTGCACAATTGGTGGCTGACTAAATACTTTTTTCCCCCACTGTAAATATGGAGCACACAATTAAAAAAGAATCAAATCAAATGTTATTTGCCACATGCGCCAAATACAATAGGTGTAGGCATTACAGTGAAATGCTTACTTAGAAGCCCATAACCAACAATGCAGTTTAAGAAAAAAATTAAATTTGCAAATAATTAAAGAGCAGCAGTAAAATAAAATAACAGTAGGGAGGTTATATACAGGGGGTACCGGTACAGAGTCAATGTGCGGGGGCACCGGTTAGTTGAGGTAAGTGAGGTAATATGTACATGTTGGTAGAGTTAAAGTGACTATGCATAAATAATAAACAGAGTAGCAGCAGCGTAAAAAAGGGGGTTGGGGTGGGGTGGGGCAATGCATTATTGGCCATGATTAGCTGTTCAGGAGTCTTATGGCTTGGGGGTAGAAGCTGTTAAGAAGCCTTTTGTACCTAGACTTGGCGCTCCGGTACCACTTGCCGTGCGGTAGCAGAGAGAACAGTCTATGACTAGGGTGACTGGAGTCTTTGATAATTATTAGGGCCTTCCTCTGACACCGCCTGGTATAGAGGTCCTGGATGGCAGGAAGCTTGGTCCCAGTGATGTACTTGGCCGTACGCACTACCCTCTGTAGTGCCTTGCGGTCGGGGGCTGAGCAGTTACCATACCAGGCGGTGATACAACCAGTCAGGATGCTCTCGATGGTGCAGCTGTATAACTTTGAGGATCTGAGGACCCATGCCAAATCTTTTCAGTCTCCTGAGGAGGAATAGGCTTTGTCGTGCCCTCTTCACGACTGTCTTGGTGTGTTTGGACCATGATAGTTTGTTGGTGATGTGGACACCAAGGAACTTGAAGCTCTCAACCTGCTCCACTACAGCCCCGTCGATGAGAATGGGGGCGTACTCAGTCCTCTTTTTTTTCCTGTAGTCCACAATCATCTCCTTTGTCTTGAGCACGTTGAGGGAGAGGTTGTTATCCTGGCACCACACGGCCAGGTCTCTGACCTCCTCCCAATAGGCTGTCTCATCATTGTCGGTGATCAGGCCTACCACTGTTGTGTCGTCGGCAAACTTAATGATGGTGTTGGAGTCGTGCCTGGCCATGCAGTCATGGGTGAACAGGGAGTACAGGAGGGGACTGAGCACACACCCCTGAGGGGCCCCCGTGTTGAGGATCAGCGTGGCAGATGTGTTGTTACCTACCCTTACCACCTGGGGGCGGCCCGTCAGGAAGTCCAGGATCCAGTTGCAGAGGGAGGTGTTTAGTCCCAGGGTCCTTAGCTTAGTGATGAGCTTTGAGGGCACTATGGTGTTGAACGCTGAGCTGTAGTCAATGAATAGCATTCTACCGTAGGTGTAACTCTTGTCCAGGTGGAAAAGGGCAGTGTGGAGTGCAATAAAGATTGCGTATGCAAATTGGAGTGGGTCTAGGGTTTCTGGGATAATGGTGTTGATATGAGCCATGACCAGCCTTTCAAAGCACTTAATGGATACAGACGTGAGTGCTATGGGTCAGTAGTCATTTAGGCAGGTTATCTTAGTGTTCTTGGGCACAGGGACTATGGTGGTCTGCTTGAAACATGTTGGTATTACAGACTCAGTCAGGGACATGTTGAAAATGTCAGTGAAGACACTTGCCAGTTGGTCAGCGCATGCTCAGAGTACACGTCCTGGTAATCCGTCTGGCCCCTTGTGAATGTTGAACTGCTTAAAAGTCTTACTCACATCGGCTACAGAGAGCTTGATCACATAGTCATCCGGAACAGCTGATGCTCTCATGCATGCTTCAGTGTTGCTTGCCTCGAAGCTAGCATAGAAGTGATTTAGCTCGTCTGGTAGGCTTGTGTCACTGGGCAGCTCCCTTTGTAGTCTGTAATAGTTTGCAAGCCCTGCCACATCCGACGAGCGTCAGAGCCGGTGTAGTACGATTCAATCTTAGTCCTGTATTGACTCTTTGCCTGTTTGATGGCTCGTCGGAGGGCATAGCGGGATTTCTTATAAGCATCCGGGTTAGAGTCCTGCTCCTTGAAGGCGGCAGCTCTACCCTTTAGCTCAGTGTGGATGTTGCCTGTAATCCATGGCTTCTGGTTGGGGAATGTACGTACGGTCACTGTAGGGACGACGTCATCGATGCACTTATTGATGAAGCCAGTGACTGATGTGGTGTACTACTCAATGCTATTGGAAGAATCCCGGAATATATTCCAGTCTGTGCTAGCAAAACAGTCCTGTTGCTTAGCATCTGCGACATCTGACCACTTCCTTATTAACCGAGTCACTGGTGCTTCATCCAGAGGCAGCGCTCCTCTAGAGTTTTTTTCCCCTCTGGTTGCACATTTAACATGCCGGTAGAAATTAGGTAGAACGGATTTAAGTTTCCCTGCATTAAAGTCCCCGGCCACTAGGAGCGCTGCCTCTGGATGAGCGTTTTCCTGTTTACTTATGGCCTTATACAGCTCATTGAGTGCAATCTTAGTGCCTGCATCGGTTTGTGGTGGTAAATATACAGCTACGAAAAATATAGATGAAAACTCTCTTGGTAAATACTGTGGTCTACAGCTTATCATGAGATACTCTACCTCAGGCGAGCAAAACCTTGACACTTCCTTAGTATTAGATTTTATGCACCAGCTGTTGTTTACAAATATACACAGACCGCCACCCCTTGTCATACCGGAGTCAGCCGTTCTATCCTGCCGAATGTAGCGTATATCCCGCCAGCTGTATCTTATCCATGTCGTCGTTCAGCCACGACTCGGTGAAACATAAAATATTACAGTTTTTAATGTCCCGTTGGTAGGATAACCGTAATCTTAGGTCGTCTAATTTATTTTCAAATGATTGAACATTGGCTAATAGGATTGATGGAAGAGGCAGATTTCTCGCTCGCCGTCGGATCCTTTCAAGGCACCCCGACCCACGTCCACGATATCTCTGTCTCTTTCTCATGCGAATGACGGGGATTTGGGCCTTGTCGGGTGTCTATAGGATATCCTTTGCGTCCAACTCGTTGAAAAAAAATCTTAGTCCAATACGAGGTGAGTAATCGCTGTCCTGATATCTAGAAGCTCTTTTTGGTCATAAGAGACGGTGGCAGAAATATTATGTACAGAATAAATTACAAATAATGCGAAAAAACACACATAATAGTACAATTGGTTAGAGGGCTGTAATATAGCCAACGAAAATGTCTCCACAAAATGAAACAAAACATATTTTGCATATTTAAAGAACTGGTTTGGATTAATAAATAGGCCTACAATAAAAATAATGGTATACAATAATAATGATAAAACAAATGTTTATAAATACGAAATAATGTCCACCTCACAGTTCAGCCTCCAATAATAATAATGGTATACAATAATAATAATAATGATAAAACAAATGTTTATAAACACGAAAAAATTTATAAAGTTCAAAAATTGCATCCTACCTGAATAGCGAGTTGCACAGTAGCCTGAAGTTGGCAGCGCCAACGTTCTTCTTATCTTTGTCCACTACAATATTAAAACTTGTTCCGTAGTAGGCTTTTCACTATAGGAATATTCTCTAACTTTCATTTTACTTTAATGAAAAAGGCTTCCATCATCACAGTCAACAGTAGCCCAAGGCTCCTCTCTCGTGCTCTCTCTCTCCTCAGTAGCATGAACATGGACGTAAGGCAGCGGGCAGGAGTGAGAAAATGGTGCTGAAGCCACCCTGCCTTGATGGCCGGCTACTATTTTATTCATCAGCTTTTCATTTATTTTAACGTCACAAAGCCGGCAATTACCAGCTAACAGAAACCCTGGTGTGCGTGTGTTGTCAGACCCACCTCCTCCCAGCAGCAGTGTGGGTAGGTGCCAGTCTAGTACATGGCGAAGACACTGGGCCACCCCTACAGGGGTCATGTTGAAGGAACACATGGGGTCCCCGGCCATGGTGTCAGCTCCCAGCTGCATCACTACTGCTTCCGGGTTAAACAACGCCTGCACTTCCTGCATCACACTATGGATGGACACAACAATCATCAAAACATTAGAGGTTAAAGATGAACACAACAATCATAATATTAGACGGTTACAGTTTTGACTATGTAGTGAACACAACAGATAATGTTTTCATTTGACTTTGAAAATGTTTGTTTCCATAGCATACATACATACATAACATGCAAGATCTACAAAGACGATATCACGGTTCTGCAACAAGAAAAACGTTTGCAGAGTATCAACAAAACTACTAACATGCGATTCTAGCTTATTATGTCTGTAAATGTCCGTTACTGAGAAAGCAGAGGACATGCAGCATGTCTCTGATGTTTCTGACAGTGTTAACCATTAAAAGATGAGATATGTATCGTATGTCATAACCTGGGTGAATAAACCTGGATGAATAAAAATGTACTAGCTTTAACAACCACGTACCTGGTGAAGACGTGGAAGTATCTGTCGTCTTTGATGCCGTCATCCAGAGGGACGTTGACAGCATACCATCTTCCTTTACCCATCCCTGTGTCACACAGGTCCCCTGTACCTACAACAGGATGGTAGGGTTACTATGACAGTGTGTGTGTGTATTATGTATCAATGTTTCTCAAACTCCAGTTCATGGACTATACCAATCTCTCAGATTGTTAGCTGATTTGACACTGATTTAGTTCTACAGTTTTAAGTTTTAATGCAAGCGGTCCCCCAATGAGGAAGGACCATAGTATACAAGTCCCTACAGGTAAAGGAAGTTTATGATGAAAAGGAGGGTGATATGTACATCCTAAACGTGAGCATACCAGTGCTAGGATAAACAATAATACTGAAATAAAAGAATGAGAGGCCCGCACACAGAAGATTGGAAGTTTGCCAACTGTAGTAGAACGGTCATTTGTACTGCATTAGGAGCCACCACTGACCTGGGAAGAATCCGGGGGAAAACTTGTGTAGAGACACAGTCATCACTTTGGAGGTAAAACTGAAGGCATCTTCCACACCTGAGAAACATTACATTATTCTCTAAAAACACACAATGATTTATTTCATTGACAAACCAAATAATTTAGCAACCTTGACAAAACATTTGTATCCACATACAGTACTCATTTGGTGAAAATATCTACACAATATTTACAATATCAACGCACATTTAGATGTGAGTTCGGGGAAAAGGGTGTGTGTGTGTGTGTGTGTACCGTCTCCATGATGCAGGTCCACATCCACATATAGAACTCTCTCGTATTTCTCTCTCAGCTTGAGAATCCCCAGCACAGCATCATTCACATAACAGAAGCCTGATGCCTCATCCCTGAACGAGAGAGAGAGGAAGAGACAGAGAGAATGAAAGTGAGAGGAGAGAGACAGAAAGACAGAAAATACTTAACGCATTCTAGTATTTTCAATGACTTAGAGGCCTTCTGTGTAGACCATCATATATGTCTAACATAATTCATTGTGTCCTCCTGTTAGGAATGGTTTGGTAACACATTCATCAACATGTGACCCTGGTCCTTGTCCGGTCACCATTCACACACAGTTCACTCTTACTTCTTGGCGTGGTGCCAGCCTCCTGCCCAGTTGATTGCCACCTCACCCCTCTTGTCCAGCAGGCACTGGGCGGCCGTCAGGGTGGCACCACCCACCGCTGCAGCATAGTCATATATACCCTCCACCACCGGGCAGTCATAACCTGGCGAAAGGAGAGGGGAAGGGAGGAGGGGTGGCGAGAGAGAGAAGCAAATGACAGACAGAAAAGTAGAAAAGTAAATAAGAAAAGACGAGAGTAAAGTAGAGGGGGAAAATGTGAGAGGGTGGATAAGTGAGTGTGACAAAGACAGAGAGAGAGAGAGGACCAGACAGAGGTGTTGAGGAGAAACAAAGGGAGGAAGAAGGAAGCAGAAGAGAAACAATGAAAAGGAAAGGTGGGGAAGGGAGGGATCGATGAAAAGACGGAGATAAGGTGAGATTAAGACGTTTTTATAATAGAAAGGTTGGCAGAAGAGGAGTGATAACCCATTAAATAACAACAGAAAGGGGTTGCATCTCTCCAGTCTCCCACCCACAGCCCTAGACTGTTGATAACATGCTGACCTAGGTTGAATCTCTCCTCGCCTCCCTCTCAAAACACATCAGATCTTCTGCTCCAATGGGCTTTGAGGAGACAAGGAGAGAGGACGCAGGGAATCAATACAATAAAGGAAATACAGTAGGAAGAAGGAATGTCAATCTGTCATTTATATATTTAAGCATAAATGGAGGTTTTCTAATGTAAATTCATTATGTAACCATATTAATGTGTTGCCAAAAACAGCCTTGTAAACCTTATGCCCGGTGGTGGGTCGTTTTTTTATCCAGAGTTAAAGCACCCTCTACTGCCAGCATAACACCATTGCATGAAAGTCCTCCCATTTCCCTCAGTCACTGATTTCAAGGTTTTACTGTTAACCTACAAACCATTACATGGACATGTTCCTACACATCTCTCCAATTTGGTCCTGCCATAAATACCTACACGTACACTACGGTCACAAGACACAAGCCTCCTTATAGAGCCCTAGAGTGGAGGTGTCATAATACCCATAAAACCTAGCGGTCAAACAGGGAAATTGTTCCAATCATTATTCCCATATGGGATTTTAGAAACACTTCAAATAAGGGATGTGTTTCGTATAGGCTTACCCTGGCGTGACGTTTTGATAACCATGTAAATCTCTCACGCTCGACCGACCGACCTCCCCCCTCGACCTTGCGTTCTCTCCCCCCTCGACCTTGCGATCTCTCCCCCACTCGACCTTGCGCTCTCTCCCCCCTCGACCTTGCGTTCTCTCCCCCCCTCGACCTTGCGCTCTACCCCCCCCCTCGACCTTGCGCTCTCTCCCCCCCTCGACCTTGCGCTCTCTCCCCCCCTCGACCTTGCGCTCTCTCTCCCCCTCCCCCGACATCTCATCCTCCCCCCGACCTCCCTCAATTCAATATACTTAATTGACATGGAAAGCAAACACATTGTCAAAGTAAAAATATAGCGACGATGGTCAAAAGACAGGAACATACTAGACGGTTTGTAATTAAGCAATAATTACACTCATATTAATAGCAATTACAACAATAATAAAGAATAGGCAAATATGAATAATCACACTATACTTCTCACTGGCTGTCCCTCAGGATGTGGCAGGAGGCCACAAATTTGGCTGCTAAATACATATTGGTTTTTCACCAAGTACGTATTTAAGTTTGTCTTAATCATTTAGGTTTTCTAATTCTTTGTATTGTTTTATAATTTGGGGGAAGAATGTATTTCTTATGTATGAATATCGGTCACAGTTTGACAAAAAAACGCAGCTCTGTCTCCACCTCTTCCTGGGGGCAGAATCAGCACAGCCTGTCCTCTCTGGGCAGTCCGGTTTGCCTGTGACGACCGGTCTCTATGGCCAGGCTGTGCTCACCGAGTCTGTACGTAGTTAGTTTTTTCCTCTGTTTTTTATCAGTCACAGTGTACTGTCTGTTTAGAGCCAAATAACATTGAAGTTTACGTCGACTTTCTTGTGATTTCTTTCCAATAGGTGATATATTTTTATTTTTGCTTTGTGATAATTACGCTGGGACAGATTTTCTGAGTGCTGTCCAGAGGCTTCGTTGGGTTGGTAGTGGTTAGTGAATTGAGCCTCAGGACCAGCTGGCTGAGCGGACTTTATGGTCACCTCTTGGATATTAAATCAGAAGAGGGAATTGGCCTAATTCTGCTCTGCATGCATTGTTTGGAGTTTTTCTCTGTACTCTAAGGACGCTCTTACAGAATTCAGCATGCAGGGTTTCAATTGGGTCTTTGTCCCATTTGTCAAATACTTGTTTTGTAAGAGGACCCCACACTTCGCTGCCATATAGTCCAATTGGTTCTATTATTGATTAGAATATTTTTAGCCAGATCCTAATTGGTACGTCTAATTTGAGAGATATTTTACTGGCATTGAAAGCCCTCCTTGCTTTCTATTTGTTCATTCACAGCCATGTTGATGTTCCCTGTGGAGTTGATTTTATCTCCCAAAAATGTGTAGGTGTGTGTCTCTTTTACAGTGCATTCAGAAAGTATTCAGACCCCTCGACTTTTTCCACATTATGTTACAGCCTTATTCTAAAATTGATTAAATTGTTTTTTTCTCCTCATCCTTCTACACACAATACCCCATAATGACAAAGGAAAAACTGGTTTTTATCAATTTTTTGCAAATGTATAAAAAAAACAAAAAAAAACATCACATTTACATACACTACCAGTCTAAAGTTTGGAAACACCTACTCATTCAAGGATTTATCTTTATTTTTACATTGTAGAATAATAGTGAAGACATCAAAACTATGAAATAACACATATGGAATCATGTAGTAACCAAAAAAAGTGTTAAACAAATTAAAATATATATTTTATACGTGAGATTCTTCAAATAGCCACCCTGCCTTGATGACAGCTTTGCAAACTCTTGGCTTCACCGTAGGGATGGTGCCAGGTTTCCTCCAGATGAGACGCTTGGCATTCAGGACAAAGAGTTCAATCTTGGTTTCATCAGACGAGAGAACCTTGTTTCTCATGCTCTGAGAGTCCTTTAGGTACCTTTTTGGCAAACTCCAAGCGGGCTGTCATGTGCCTTTTACTGAGGAGTGGCTTCTGTCTGGCCACTCTACCATAAAGGCCTGATTGGTGGAGGGCTGCAGAGATGGATGTCCTTCTGGAAGGTACTCCCATCTCCACAGAGGAACTCTGGATCTCTGTCAGAGTGACCATCGGGTTCTTGGTCACCTCCCTGACCAAGGTCCTTCTCCCCCGATTGCTCAGTTTGGCCAGCTCTAGGAAGAGTCTTGGTGGTTACAAACTTCTTCCATTTAAGAATGATTGAGGCCACGGTGTTCTTGGGGACGTTCAATGCTGTTCTTGGGGACCTTCAGTGCCTCGACACAATCCTGTCTCGGAGCTCTACGACCAATTCCTTCGACCTCATGGCTTGGTTTTTGCTCTGACATGCACTGTCAACTGTGGGACCTTATATAGACAGGTGTGTGCCTTTCCAATCATGTACAATCAATTGAATTTACCACAGGTGAACTCCAATCAAGTTGTAGAAACATCTCAAGGATGATCAATGGAAAGGATGCACCTGAGCTCAACTGAGTCTGAATACTTATGTAAATAAGGTATATTTTCAATTTTTAATAAATTTGCAAAAAAATCTAAAAACCTGTTTTCGCTTTGTCATTATGGGGTGTTGTGTAGATTGATAGGAAAACAATTTATTTAATCCATTTTAGAATAGGGCTGTAATGTAACAAAATGTGGAAAAAGTCAAGAGGTCTGAATACTTTCCGAATGCACTGTATATGAGTGGAGCCCAGTAAAAATTGATATCGGTTTCCCTGACATCTGGATCTTTTCTGGAATATCGTCATTTGTGTCTTTTTGTGATTGACTGTCTGGGCCCAGGTCTGACAGAACTGTTGCAGATGATCTAATTGTTGCTGTAACCCCTCTTTTATGGGGGACAGCAGCACCAGGTCATCTGCATACAGGAGGCATTTTATTTCTGTGTTGTTAAGAGTGAGACGGGGCTGTTGATTGTTCTAGCGTTTTTGCCAATTCATTAGTCTATATATTAAGAAGACTTGAGCTGAAATTGTTCCCCTGTTTCACTCCGTGCCCTTGGGAAAATAAATGTGTATGTTTATTTCCAATTTTGACTGCACATGTGTTATTTCTATATATTGATTTGAAGACATTTGTATGTTTTTCCACCCACCCACACCATTTTCAATTAATTAGAGAAAAATGCCTTAATGCCAAATTGAATCAAAGGTTTTTAAGAAATCCACAAAGCACAAGAAAATCTGTTTTGTTTCACGTTTATTAATTCATGTGTGTAGGGTATAAATGTGATCTGATGTTCGATAATTTCATAGGAATCCCAATTTCACTTTTGCTCAGGATATTGTGTTCACTTAGAAAGTGCAGTAATCAGCGGTTCATGATGGTGCAGAATATTTTTACCAGGATGCTGTTGACACAAATGCCATGTTAATTGTTTGGATCAAATGTCTCCATTTAAAATGTCAGGGAAATAGCCTACACTCAAAACTTTGTTAAATACTTTGAGTAAGATAGTGCTAAATTTGTGGTCTGTGTATTTTATCATGTCGTTCAATATTCCATCAGTACCACAAGCTTTTCTGGGTCGCAGGGCCTGTATGTTTTCCATTAGTTATTTTTGTGTTATTGGGGAATCCAACGGTTCTGGTTGTCTTTAATGGCCGATTCAAGAACTTGCAGTTTTTCATAGATTTCTTTTTGTTCCGAATTAATTTTAATATGTCAATATAGTTCTTTTATTTGCGCAAGTTATTTATATTTATTTTGGGGGGCTTTTTCATTGTTGGACATAAAAAACTAAAAACATCAGGAAATCATCTCCAAGTGATTTTTATTTAAGACATCTGTTCCCAAGTATTCCCACGCATAATAGAGAGACACGCGATAGTATATAAATGTAAACAAGGTTTGAAATGATTATGTTTTAGTCAAACTATTTGACCATCCGCCCAAGAAAAATCGTCCCGCGGCTTAATGAAGTTGATGATCCCTGGTTTAGGGAGTTCCAATTTTCTAAATAGTTGTTGAATCAATGGATTCCTCAATTTAATTAAGTTGGTGTCTGATGTGTTGTTCTTTTTTGTTCTGAGAGTCTGTATTCTTTTAGGGTTGCCCAACACTGAAGGCCCAGATCCTAGCTGTCTGGTGCTCTCTCTCTCTCTCTCTCGCTCCCCCCCTCTCTCTCTCTCCCCCCTCTCTCTCTCTCCCCCTCCTCTCTCTCGCCCCCCCCCTCTCTCCCTCTCCCCTCTCTCTCTCTCTCTCACTCGACCCCCCCTCTCTCTCTCGCTTCCTCCACCCCCTCTCTCTCTCTCTCTCTCTCTCTCTCCCCCCCCCTCCTCCTCTCCCCCCTCTCCCCCCCTCTCCCGCCCCCCCCACCCCTCTCCTCCCCCCAACTCTCCAAACGCTCGACCCCACCCCTGCCCGCCCCCCCTCTCTCTCTCCCAAAACCCCCCCCCTCTCTCCGTTTCGGGGCCCCCCTCTTCTCTCTCTCCCGACCCCCCCCCTCTCTCCCTCTCCCTTCAACCCCCCCCCTCCTCTCCCTCCCCTCTCTCCTCTCTAAAGGGGGCCCCCCCTGCTCTTCTCTCTTCCCCCTCGACCCCCTCCCGAACCCCCCCCCCCCCCTCCTCTCTAAAACTTCTGGCTTTCTTTTCCTCTCGACCCCCCCTCCTCTCTCTCTGAAACCCCCCCCCTCCTCCCCCTTCGAGCCCCCCTCAAATCCCTTTTCGACCCCCACCTCCCTCTCGACCCCCCCTCACCTTCTCTCGACCCCCCCTCACTTCCTCGACCCATCACCCTTTTCCCCCACCCCCTCACTCTCTCTCTGCGACCCCCCTCCTCTCATCTCTTGACCCACCTCTCACCAGCATCCCCCCCTCTCCCACCCCCCCTCTCGACCCTCCTCTCTCGAACCCCCTCTCGACCCCCTCTCTCGAACCCCCACAACTCTCGCTCCATCACTACCTCTCTCTCTCTCTCTCCCCCCCCCCTTTTCTCTCGACCCTCCCTCTCCCCCGACCCCCTCTCTCTCCCCCGACCCCCTCTCTCTCTCGACCCCACCTCTTTCTTTCACTCTCTCTCGACCACCCTCTCTCTCCCTAGCTCCAGAGAGCCTGCTCTTCCCTCTCCTCTTACCCAGGCCAAAGTCCCCGGACTGGGGGTCATCGTTGTCTCCATCCTGGCTGATTTTGTGGAGGTGCTCCAGGTAGGCGTCTGTGTGGAACTTGGCCATCTCCTCAATGGTCGCAACACGGGGCTTCACAACACTGAAAGAATGAATGGAACATAGATACTGATGGACTGTTCTAGAGGTTTGTACTTAGTTACTTTACAGAGTTCTAATCCATATTGTTCGAGAACTGTAGAAAGAGCTCAGAATGTGGTACTGGCATTGGAGCAGGATGGTAACGTTAGCTAGCTAACTAGTTGGTTTATTCTAATCTAAAATAATAGCTATAACTTCTTAAACGTCCATATAATGTAGGTAAAACAAGCACCAAGCTCAGTTGGTTAAATAAAGGGAATGGTTTAGCTAACTAATGTTAGCTAGCCAACATAGACAGCGCACTAGCTCTGGTCCACACGCATGCGTTCTGCACGCGAATATAATGCGCGTGGGCCAGCATTAGACTGGGGGTAAAAGTTGTGTGTTTCGTATTTTGGAGAAATGACACCAGTGCACTGCATTATACAGCTTACTGTTTGTCAGCACTCTACAGTCAAGTAAATCACTAAAACTTCCCCAGTGCGAGAGTGGAGGGCAAGTGAACAACGCCCTGCCAGAGTTAACTAGCTCATTCCCTTATTTTTGACAAGCATCTAACGTTAACTTACCCCATGTGTTGAAGTAAACCATAAGCTTCTATGAGTGAATGTACCATACTTGCCTAGGGAAACGGAATAAAAAAAAATCGTTCAGTACTTGTAAATAATGACAAAAGTAATGCCTCTCTGGCGAGCATCCATAGCTAGCTATCATTTCCATTCAACTCACCCGGTTGGGGACTTTTGATAGCGAGTCGCATGTCTCGATGTATTGAGGACTATAGACATATACAACTTTGCGTTTGGAAGGAGAGTCATTGGAGTCTCCTTTACAACTCATTTATGTTAGTTAGTGTAGTTCTGTGGATAAAACGCTTGAAATAAGTAAAAATGTGTACGAGACTGCTAGCTTGCGAGCTAATTTCTGCACAAATGCAGATGGTGTCCCACTATCAACATTCCCCGGACAAAACGGAAACCGTGCTACCCGGAACTTATGTTTCAATAAAAAGCTTAATTAAACCAAATATTATGGATATACTGACAAGATACATGTCTCTCCGCCCTAATAATGGGAGTTGTTGTAATAATAATAATAATAATAATAATATGCCATTTAGCAGACGCTTTTATCCAAAGCGACTTACAGTCATGCGTGCATACATTTTTGTGTATGGGTGATCCCGGGGATCGAACCCACTACCTTGGCGTTACAAGCGCCGTGCTCTACCAGCTGAGCTACAGAGGACCACAAAAGGTGTTGTCCAACAAAGCGGTACGGCGGACTGTCTAGCTCCCGCCTATCCTTTCTTTCGAATGGTGGATACATCTCATTATTGTAATCTATTTTTAAATATTTGATAAGGTTTGTTGACGTCAACCGCCTGTATTCAATGAAGAGAGACGCTATGCTACTAGCCTCATACTATGAATAGACAATGCCGATATAAAGTGTTTTTTGTCGATGTCACGTGTCCTACTTATATCAGTACACACGTAGCAACTTAAGCATTACGAAACGTCTATTTGATCAAATAAACCTCACGTAGCAAATAAGCCATTAATTTTTTTGTTAATCAAATCCGGCACTCATTGATCTCCAGATAAAAACTGCTTGCTTGGTGGGCAAAACATCGCCACCTACTGGAGGGAGACAGAATTTCCGCCGAGTTGGGCCACTTCTAAACTAATATCATTTGAACTACTGAAACACGTATGGAAACATGTATTAGGCATCGGTAAGAGAGCCGTTCATTTGGCTACTAAATGTGCATACTGGTAGGCTTTTTGGTGATTGTCTAAAGATAAATTATGAGATGACAGTTGAGGGTACGACAGATTCGAAAAGATGGCGGAGGCGGATGATGAAGTGGATTGTGAATCTAATGGCGGTAGAATCAAGGAGGATTGGAGTATAGTTCAAAAGAATGGAAAAAGGAGCGAAGTAGGGTACAGTGCGGAGAATGTCCCTATATATCTTGTAGGAGTAAGGTTTGTTAATGAGGAGCAGCTTATCGAAATACCAATCTTGAAGAATCCTTTTGAGCTATCCAAACCGGTGGAGAGTGTGATGGGTAAAGTGAAGGATGTGAGGATCACGAGAGGCGGGTTTGTTTTGATTTTTTGTAGAAGGAACGTGTGTTGCGGATCTCCCGATTTGAAAAGTTTGACGTGGCGTGTGTCTCTTCGGAACAGGGCACCCCTCAAGGGGGTAATATCTGGCGTCTCGTGGGAAGTCGAGTTAAAGAGATGAAAAATATTCCAGGAGTGATTGATGCACGTTGGATGAATCGAGTGGTGAATGATGAAAAAGTTTAGAGTTTATCTGTTCTTTTGTTTTTTGATATGGAGTCTCTCCCTACTGAAGTGCAGTTGGGGTATATAAACTACAAAGTCAGAGCATTTATTCCAAGACCAATACAGTGTGATCACTGTAAAGCTTTTGGTCATGTGTCAAGGGTTTGCAGAAGGGAGAAACCTAGATGTCCAAGTTGTGGAAAATATCATTTAATGTGTTATAAAAGTGAAATGTTGCAATTGTGGTGGGAACCATAAAGCCACGTCTTTTGAATGCCCGACAAGGGTGAAAGAAAATGAGGTGGCCAAAGTTAGGGTTGTACAGAGCATTTCCTATGCAGCAGCGGTTAAAAGGGTTGAGGGTTTGAATGGTGCCCCTGAAGAGTCCATGGTGGTGGATAGGACTTCAATGCAAGCTGCAGGGGTTGCCTTTCACCAAGATGATCCTGACATTTTCAATGTTAAAAAGGTGGACTTTGGAGAAAAGATCTAGGAAGATTGAAATCATTGTGATTGCAGCGGAGCGGTTCCTGGGGCTGAAAGATTTCACAGCAAAGGAGTTACATGGAATATTAGCAAAAGCCTAGAGCCCGAGAAGGGAGATATGGAGAACTAAAAGAAGGAAGAAGTGGGAGTTTTGTTTGTTTTGTTAATGTACTATATATATATTTTTTAGTAGGGTGGATTGTTAAAATCACTATTAAGTATGGATTTAGTTATTTTAATTTAATTTTTGGTTTCAAATCGTCCAGTTGGTGGCGGCAATACAACTTTTGGATGTAGTCCGCCATAAAACCCATAGAAGAAGAAGAAGAAACATGTATTAGTCTTTTTTTACTTGATCAAATATGCAAACTGTTAGGTAATATCAAATAGTATGGAACTTTTGGGAATCAATTCTCCCTACCGACCATAGATAGCTAATTTATATCATAGTTTAACGTTGCGTTCGCTGTCTGTTGTTCTATCTTGTAGAAAGAATAACATTTGAGGTATGTATCCATAATTTGATGTGGAAAATCTATAAATCATGTAGCCTATAAAATACATTCTGAACTACCAATTAGCTTATCTTTGTGTTTCTGAAGCATTTTTGTGCCCATTTCAATCAAACATAAATCAGTACCATTTAAACAAGTAACAGGTTTATTTCATTTAATGGTAGAAAAGTGAGCCTCTATAACCAGGTTTCCATCCAACCATTTCATGCAGATGAATTAGGCTTCCTGACGCATAAAAAAAGTCATGACCGGGCTGATGGAAACAAGATATGCCGGTACAATTTTATAATTTGTTCGTTCCACATGGTGGGATCTTTTTGTGTCTGTAAAATTAATGATGTGCAAATATTGATATAATAACCATAAAATAGAAGTAAACTTGTCAGGGGTGGAGTGTAGTGGGATGTGGAATCACACGCAGGACACAGAGATATAAATCCAAAGGTCTTTTAGTGAAGTCCGTAGTACACGCCAAACACGGCAACAGGCCACAGGCGAAAACAAACGCACACTAAACTGTACAAAGTAAGTGTGCACAACGTGCAGGACTCTCTATAACAACACGAAATAAGAGAGAACAAAATCCAGAGGACCAAACAACCACACGACAGTAGAACAATTACACACAACACCTGACCTAACACAAGGGAACTAAATAGGGTGCCTAATGAGACTAAACACTAAACAGGTGTGACAAACAGACAAAACCAATCAAACATGAAACATCGAACGGTGGCAGCTAGTACTCCGGAGACGACGACCGCCGAAGCCTGCCCGAACAAGGAGAAGGGGCCGCCTCGGCCGAAACCGTGACAAAACTTGGAGTCAAGCGATGATATGTCACTACGACTCGGGAAACCATGCAGTTTAATAGGCTACCGATGAAATAAATTATGATGAACTTCACAGGGTGGGGAAAATGCACGTGATGAACTTGGTGCTCCTTTAAATATTGAGGGTCTTATTCTGTTGACATGATGAACAGTGCCTGGCTGCCGTTTGATAAATACAAACAATATTGCTCTTATCCATAATAATCTCATGCTATTTAAGCAACCGATTTTGTGACAAAACTATTGGTATTGTTGAAAATGCGATGGAAACACAAACCAGGTTTCCATCCAACATTTTTATGTAAGTAAAGTAGCCTACATGTCAGATAAAAAATTAAATGACAGGCCTGATGGAAACAGAACATTTTTCTGTAATGTTTCCAAATGTAAAAAAAAACAAAGTATGCTACACAAGGTGAGCTCTTTTTGTGTTGGTAAAATATATTATGCGAGAAATGTCGGTGGAAATGCTTTTATGCGCAAATATTGATAAATAAATCAATGTCTAGGGTCTTATTCTGGTTACATTATAATCGATGCTTGGCTGCCATTCGAAAAATAAAATAATATTTTGTTATGTAGTGATCACGAGAAATGTTTATTGTGATCTGGACAAAATGAGGGAATAATTGTTTTAATTAATTTGTCCTCTCTGGACTTTTGAAGTATTCTTGTATATATTTTTAATTAGTCTCATTTTTCAAATATAAAGAAAGAATAAATACAGAAAAGACAAATAGATATACAGTTGAAGTCGGAAGTTTACATACACTTAGGTTGGAGTCATTACAATTTGTTTTTCAACCACTCCACAAATTTCTTGTTAACAAACTATAGTTTTGGCAAGTCGGTTAGGACATCTACTTTGTGCATGACACAAGTAATTTTTACAACAATTGTTTACAGATCGAATATTTCACTTATAATTCACTGTATCACAATTCCAGTGGGTCAGAAGTTTACATACACTAAGTTGACTGTGCCTTTAAACAGCTTGGAAAAATCCAGACAATGATGTCATAGCTTTAGAAGCTTCTGATGGGCTAATTGACATAATTTGAGTCAATTGGAGGTGTACCTGTGGATGTATGTCAAGGCCTACCTTCAAACTCAGTGCCTCTTTGCTTGACATCATGGGAAAATCAAAATAAATCAGCCAAGACCTCAGAAAAACAATTGTAGACCTCCACAAGTCTGGTTCATCCTTGGGAGCAATTTCCAAATGCCTGAAGGTACCACGTTCATCTGTACAAACAATAGTACGCAAGTATAAACACCATGGGACCACGGAGCCGTCATACCGCTCAGGAAGGAGACGCGTTCTGTCTCCTAGAGATGAACGTACTTTGGTGCGAAAAGTGCAAATCAATCCCAGAACAACAGCAAAGGACCTTGTGAAGATGTTGGAGGAAATAGGTACAAAAGTATCTATATCCACAGTAAAACAAGTCCTATATCGACATAACCTGAAAGGCCGCTCAGAAAGGAAGAAGCCACTGCTCCAAAACCGCCATTAAAAAGCCAGACTACGGTTTGCCACTGCACATGGGGACAAAGATCGTACTTTTTTGAGAAATATCCTCTGGTCTGATTAAACAAAAATAGAACTGTTTGGCCATAATGACCATCGTTATGTTTGGAGGAAAAAGGGGGTAGGCTTGCAAGCCGAAGAACACCATCCCAACCGTGAAGCACGGGGGTGGCAGCAT